AGAAAGGCGGGGCATAGAGGAGAAACAATAATGTACAGTATGTGGAAAATAATGTGTTTTTTTAACCTTAAACTGCATAAACACATTTCATTACACCAAATACACAAAATAATGTTCTTTTTAGCAACATCATATGACCCCTTTAAGACCCAACTTACTTTGTTTAACGAGGATACTTTCAAAGAAGGGCATTTTGACACATACAAGTGTGTGTATTTAACCGTTCAAGGCCTATAAAAGTGCAAATATTACTACGCTCAAAACCTCCGCTTTATGAGCAGCGTCTTCACGTGAGCGCGCCTCTCTGACAGCACTCAGAAACGGTCTCTCAGGCAGCATGCGCATATAGCGAAATGAGTTCTCTTTCACTGCTGATTGCATTTCAGCGGCTTAAAATCACTTTAAACTGCAATGTTTAAAAGCGAGTGCAAACGATACATTTTCATGACCATGTAGCACAGCAACGTCACATGAGTGTGAATTTTATATTGACTTAAATAAAGACTTGTCTGTTTAGAGACTCACGGCTCTTGAACTCCAAAACTGAGAATGGACCTGAATTCAGCTTGACTCTCATCAAAAAGTGCCGTTGCTTCCTCCGCCGCTTCCTCAGCGTTATTGTCTGTAATCACACACACACACACACAAATCAATCTGAATTAAAGAGACAGTATCTTGACACTGAAATTCAGGAGGCACAAATCAGTTTTGACTCTCACCCGTTTCCCATGTACCTCTCAGCCCTCTGATCCGAGAAGACAAAATCTGAATCCAGCGCTCCAGAGTGAGATGCTGACCAACTAACTCAGCACTCTCACTGTCAGGGAGACAAAAAATTATTAAGATTTGACTTATCCCAGTGTAAGCACCTGAAATTGAACATCATAAGGTTAGTAATGGTGCCGTACTAGTTAAGCTTGCTGGACTCCACAGGGATCAGTGGGATGACCGTGTTACAGAGAGACTTGCAGAGTGGACACATGTACTCGCCGTTCTCCAGGTCTATGATCAGATCTGCATGCAGCCGATTCCGAGTGGTGTTCTGCACAGCTTCAAAGTACCTACAAACAGCAAAAAGACATGAAGATGTAAAGGCTGAGTGGATTTGTTTGGTTTAAGCATCCCAAATGAAACTATTTAAGCATTAACTGACTTTTGCCAGCAGGTGGCGTGCATCACATGCCCACAACTGCCGGTGTGTGTCCCCACAGCCAGATCAGGGGGCATGAACAGGGGATAGCTGCCTACTGATTTACAAAAAAGAAAACCTTAAATGAATAATAAATCATCATAACATGTGCAAGGAATTCATACATGCTTAGTGTCAACACTTCCTGCTTATCATCACAATAAAGGTACTTGAGAGGTAAAGTATGAGGCATCATTCACCTTTAGGGGAGAGTGTCTTTCCACGGTTCTGGGTGAGAACAGTAGATCTTTGCACACATGCTGTGAGGACCATGGCTGGTGCCTGAGCCTGAACCTCCTGCTCCTCCTGACACAGGATGCAGATTTGAGCCTCCCAGTCTGTGGAACAAACGCCCTGCTGAGGCCCCACAGCCACCCTGCTCTCATCCACATCCATCCTGAAGCTGCACACACACACACACACACAGAGTGGATTTCACTTAGACATACAGACATTTGAAGGGTGTTCGCAGAAATTATATTACTGTAAATGACTGTGATAGTCAGCTTTTGAGGGATAAAAGAGCAAAAGAATGAAATAGTGGGAAAACTGAAAAGAAAAGACAAAGTGACAAAAGAACAAGGAAAAATAAATACTGGTAATAATAAAAAAAAATTTTTTTAAATTTAAATACATAAAAATTAAAGCGTAAAAAAAAGTTCAAATGCAAAAGAAAGAAAAGTGAAAGGAACTAACGAGCAAAGGAGAGATTAGAATACCGACAGGTCCAAAAACTGGGAAAATGAAAAGTAAAAGATGAATATAAGAAAAATAAGTAAAAAAGAGAATGCCGAGAAATTACATAGGAATACGAATGAAAGAAAATAAAACTAAAAAAAGAAAGTGAAAGTATAAATGCAATGAACTGAAAGCAAGTGTGAAAGAAAGTGAAAGGCACAAAAAAGCGAAAGTGAAAGAATGAAAAATTAAAAGAATGAGTAAAAAACTAAAGGAAGGAGCAAAAAAGAAAGACAAAGGAGAGGGAAAGTGTTAAAAACAACAAATGGAAGTGAAAAAGTGCAATAAAAAGGCTAAAAGAAAGAAAAACAAGCAAAAGCAAAAGAAAGTAATAGAGAAAGTGAAATGAATTGAAACAAATGAAAACATTGGTAAACAAATAAAGAACAGGCAAAGGAGTGAAGATAAGAAGCAAAAGGAAGAAAGAAAGAAAGAAAGAAAGAAAGAAAGAAAGAAAGAAAGAAAGAAAAGAAAAGAAAAGAAAGGACCACATCAATGAAAAGGCTAAAAGTAAAATAAAGCAAAAAATAAAAATAAAAGAAAGTGAAAGAAACTGGCAAATGGGACAAATGAAAGAACAAAAAGGGAAAAATTTAAGAAAATGAAGGTGCAAAGAACAAAGAAACGAGAATAAAGATAAATAAGAACTAAATTATATAATAGAACATAAAAAAGAATAAATAACAGTAAAAGTGCAATAATGAATAAATGCAAAAATAAGTGAAAGCGCAAAAGAATGAAAAGCAGTGCAAAGTGAAAGTGTAAGTATAAGAGAAAGTGAAAGAAACCAAAAGCAAGAGAGAAAGACTGAAAGAACAAAAAAAATAAAAAAAAATTAAAAGTCACAAAAAGAAAGTATAGTAAACAGCAAAAGAAAGAGAGAAAGACAAAAGAAAGTGGTGACCTGTCCACAGATGCGGCGGTGTCGCTCTGACTCGAGCTCTCAGGCACGTTGTCATAAAGCATCTTGTTGGACTCTATGAAGTTCTTCTGCATGGCCGACATCTGAGCCATGATCTTCTGCCTGTGGGCTTTAGCAGCTTCAGCTTTCCTCTTGCGCTCGGCCTTCTCTTTATCCTGAACACTCTGAGCAGAGACGACACACTTTAAACACCTCGAAGTCATGGAAGCATTGCGACTGAGACCCTCTGTGTTTGAATCTGTGCCATTACCTCCTCCAACGTGCTGTGATCCACAGAAAATGAAGCTACAGGACCGGATTTCTCTCGAAGACACTTCACCACCTCAAACATCTTGCAGGAGAGACATATAGATCTTAAATATCAAATCAATGAATTAAACAATCAAATACACATCAAATCACCTTCATACCTGTAGGTTCCACATGATCATGTCATTCTGAGCTTTCAGAGAAGGTAAAGACTTTATTCTGGTCAGGAAGTGGAACAAAGATTTGCCGTGTTCTGAACCAGATTCTGAAAATGCAAACACATCTATGTCTATCAGCAAATACATAAACAGCAAAGCACTAATAGTAGGGCTGCGTGATATATGGAAATAAAATAAAAACGGTGATATGGCTTAGTGCGAAAGGTACAATTAAACTTAATATATTATTCAGAGTGAAGCCCTTACAGTCATACCGCAAAATCAAATTGCTAACACTTTACAATTAGTTAATTAACTAGCATTATCTATTCAGCTTTGTCAATGTTAGTTAATAAAAATCCTCACTAAATGTCCTGCACAAATGTTCACTGTTATTTCAAGTTAACTCAGGTCAGTTAAATATTGACAGATACAGCTTTTGATTTTAATAATGTATTAATAAATATTGAACTTTACATTAACTAAGAATGATTAATGCTCTAATTAATGTAGTTAAGGTAACATTTTATTTTAAGGTGACCTTGTTACATGTTACAAGTACTTACTATTATAATTACAATAAATTATGCATAGTTACATGCAAGTAAACCTAAGCCAAACCCTAATCCTAACCCTAAACATATAGTAAGTACATGTAGTTAATTAATATTACTCAGTACTTAAATGTATAATTATACTCTAACAAGGACACCTTAAAATAAAGTGTAACCGTAGTTAACTAATGTTGACAAATGGAACCTTATTGTAAAGTGTTACAATACACAGTTATTATTTCAGTTAAATACTTGTTTAAACACTCAAAAAAATTTTACAATATACTGGTACTTTTTTTTTTTTTTTCTCGCTGAAAGCAATTACAGGAAGTGTGGCCAGCGTCAAGTAAACTAAAAAGTTAGTTAAGCACAAACCCTGCACTCCAGAAAATCCTAGCAAAAAACAACAATAAACAGTAGTGAAAAACGAGTGAAATAAAAAAAAAAAAAAGCCCAAAAGAAAGTGAAACAGTGAAAAGAAAAAAATTGAAAGTGAAAGAAAGTAGGACAGAAAGTGAAACAAACCAAAGAGCAAAAGAGAATGAGTGGAAAAATCAAATCACTGGAGGAAGAGCAACAAAGACGAAGTGAAAGAAAGAAAAAGGAATAAAAAAAAAGAGAACAGGAGGAAAGGTAAAAAAGGAAGATAAAAAGAGAACACAAAGAAACCAAGAAATTGAAAACAACTAAAAAGTGAAAGTGAAAGAGCGAAACAGAATGAAAGATAAAAAAATTAAAGAACAAAACGAAGGACCCAAAAAAGAAATAAAAAAACAAACTGATATAATACAATATTATTAATAAAAACATACAAAAAAAAAACAAGCAAACAAAAAAACAAAAGTGAAAGTAAAAATCAGTGTAGCAATTAATAGGCAAAAAGTAATTGAAAAGGCAAAAGAATGAGAAGAAAAAAAAACTAAGTGGAAGTGAAAGTATTACAGAAAAGCAAAAGATAAAGACTAAAAAATGAAGTGAATTATTAAAAGAGCAAATCAATGAAATGGAAAAAGCAAAAGCAAAAAAAAAGCCTAAGAAACCAAAAGACAAGTATTCTAATTCATGTCAATGATTGCCTATAAAATGCTGAATATGAACTAAAATGATCAACTCTTAACATGGAGTTCCTGGAGCCTCCCAACACTGCATATTTTGAAGGCCTCCTATTGTAAATCGTAAACTTAACATACTATATTTTAGGGTTGTAAAGGTATGAGATTTTCACAGTATGATAATCATCTCAGAAAATATCACGGTATATATATATATATTAAACAATAATTCTTATCACTAACAATGACTCTTAAAAGAATAAGAACAAGTTATCGGAGTGAACATTTTTTATTACAACAAACCATTTTAATGAAAGTATTGAAGTCTCTGAAAATAAAAATAAATAAAGTTCATTTCATTTTAAAAAACAATGAAAAAATAAAGCTATACACCTTATGTATATCTATATCACGCTTTAAAATTTAATGTTGAATGAAAATCAAATGAAATCAAAATGAAAATTTAACAACTCTTATTTTTGGAAAAGTTCTGCACAACAGAGGTATACAAAGTTAAAACATGGTCAAACGTGATATTCCCTAAAAATAATGTTTAAATAAATTCATTATTATAAAGAATATTATTATTGTTGTTGTTATTATAACTTTGAAGTACATTGTACAGTGCTAATATATTTGTAATTAATTTCAAGTTAAATCAAACTTTTATTTTGACGGGTTGTAGCGGACCTGTATTTGACAATGGTTTTTCTCCAATAAAACTAGGAAATGTTTATTTACGTTTTCTCTCAGAGCAGCTCTGGTGAAGTTCATGTTTATGTAGACGCTAAAAAACACCATTAGTGTCATGCGTACTTCAGGGTGTAGTAGATAAAACGGCACCACTCAGAGACATGCAGAAACAAGCAGATTATTCATATAGCAGTCTCTTCACGCTTCACAGACAGATATCATATCTACTTTTGATTTATCTATCAGATTGCTCGTTTTACGTGACATCCTCGTTATACTGTAAATTCCATGTTCACGACTGCACCGGGATTCCCTCTGCTTCACGGAAATCATACGGCCTTAATTTATAACTTTTTATAAATGTGTCACACCTATATCTGCACGGAGGGATGGTGTCCGCGAATATGAGCAAAGATGTTGCCCACTTTTGCAGCCAATTTGCGTCCACATGTTTTGCAAATTGGATCCGTCCTCAAGGACAACCCTGCGTTCGTTTTTTAATATCCAAAGTATTCCCATACTGCAGATTTGTACTTTTTTTTTTTTACGGCGGGGATGGAGATTAGATATTATCTCTGTCTCTGTCATTTTCTCCTCTGTACGTGCGTGTAAGCATCCAAGTTAATGCAGAGTGAAGCAGCCGAGCGGAAATAAGTTGCATTTGCGCAGGTGAGATTTTTTTTTTCATTCATTTTTTTTTTAAACCGTAGATATGCAAATGTTTACAGTATGATAACCATGCACGTTCAAACCGTGATAAACCGTCATACCGGTATATCGTTACAACCCTACCGTATTTTGATAGATAGCATTACTGTTTGTTGCAAACAAATTCATCCACGATTTTTCTGAATTCTGATCTGAATCCATGAAGTCTGAACTTTGACATTGTGATTAAGTAGACCAATGAAACTGGCAGCAGGACGGGGTCTGCAATATTTCAGAAAAAACAAAGGGTGAGATCTTACTTTGTGCTTTCAGACTAAAGTCAAAGGTCACTTCCTCAGTACTGCTGCTTTCCAACTGCGTTTTTTCCTCCAGTAGAGCCTGGCCTACAAGGTGAAGGGCCTAAAGCCATACAAGCGAGTTTAAAAAAAAAAAAAAATCACATTTGTCAAATCTCACATCAAACAAACTCACCATGAAAACAGCAACAGCAATAGTCCATGCAATTGAATTATGTTCTTAAAAATGCAAATGCAATAATTATTTAAGTTTAAAAGATAACTACATTTACGTTACTGAAACGGTGAGAAATGGTGTATGCAGGACAGTAAGAGCCATACCCTCTGGATCATGGGTTCAGTCCATCGGTTGGAACGGTCCTCCGCTGCTTTCTGGAAGATTCTCTTCAGAATATGGATGAAGATGTCACAGCAGAGCAGATACACTATGTTTGAGAATGCTGGACAGAAGGGAGGAGGCACTGGGGGACGGAGGGCTAAAATAGAGTGACATCACATATCACACCCTGTGCATTAATATCATCTACTAGTTTTATTTTATTTATAATTCATAAAACAGGTAGTTCTAGCCCTGGCTTTTAATTGATTAATACAACATTACAGTGAAAAAAAAAATCCACAATTGTAAAAGCTATAAAGCAAAGGACCTCTTCATATTTATTTTCATATAATTGCCACAAATTATTTTAATTATTTTATGCATTCAAAATCGCATCAATGCGTTTTTGTTTAGCATTTACCATAGTTTCCAGAAGTATTTTTTATCATCTGAGATGTGCAGCGACTCATATTCCAAAGAGACTTATATAATGCATTTAACATCAGTACAGATCAGCATACCTTTATCACTGCTCTCTTGGGTTCTCCTCTTCTTCTGAGCCTCTTCTGCCTAATATGAACAATAAACATTTCCTTCCGTTTAAAGACTAATCTGTATTTTAATGAGGATGAGATAATGGGTGCATCACAAACCTTACTATGCTGTGGTCTGGAATAATGATAGAAGAAGGGGTTAAACTCTTTCAGACATTCCTTCTTCAGTTCATACAAGCCATGGCCTGACACTCCTGGTTTCCTAAACCACATTTAATAAAGATTTTGGAGTACATATAGCATTGCATAGAGATGTGAGTGCAAAAACTGTGTAATAACTTGTATAAACAACTACCTTTAGTGAAATGTACTTACTTGAAAATGGCAACCTTTGAGATGACCGTTTCAAGCCCTGTTTCATGGCTTTCCTGTGATGCAATAAAAAAGGTTCATAAAGTAACTATAAAAGAATGTTTATAGTTCAGTTACACACACACACACATACATATACATATATATATATATATATATATATATATTGTTTATAGATAAATTACACACAGTCAGATAATGTACTTAAACCGGTCAGTTAATGTACGTAAATATTGGGCTGCCACAATTTTACAGCAAAATAAAACAAAACAAAACAAAACAACACAACACAACAACACAACACAACACACAACAAAACACAAAAAAAGACACAACAAAACACAACACAAAACAAAACACAAAACAACACAACACACAACAAAAATACAATTCTTACATTTTCAGGCAGGCTTTTAACCAGGCTGCTATGAGCCATGGGTTGAATACAAAGCAGATGGATGACCTCCCTCATAGTCACGTCCTCCTTAGTCACATGACTGATTCCAGGCACATACCGTTCACCTGCATATTTCACATGCAAAATATATATCAGAGGCAAAACAAAGGCAGTGTCCCCAGTCAACCCATTTACATAAAACAACTGATAACACATCAACTAAGGGTAGCAAATGACAAAAATAAAAAAAAGTCAGAACTTACCTACAATGATGATTATCAGGTAAAGCATCTCCTCTGTTAATCTATTCCACTGTTTCAGTACTTCCTGTGTGATGAAAAAAGGCACAGAAACCAATAAAAACCAATGAAAATTGGTTATTCTTTGTGTATATTATAGTACAGTACCAGTCAAAAGTCAAAAGTTTGGACACTTTCCATTCGTGTGTCTACACATTTGACTGGTACTATACATAGAATATAGTATATACATAAACAGAATATATATACATAAACACATTTTTTGCAATGATCACTCAAATGTGGTGATCAAACACTTATAATGACGTGACAGAGATACGTAATGGAGGCAGGGCATTTAACAATTTAACAATAAACTTTATTATCCAAAATGAGTCTGACATCAGTGCACCGAACAGTAAAGTTGAAGTTTATTCAACTTTAATTCAATTCAATTCCATTCAACTTTATTCCGTTGAAGTTTATTTCACTTCGGAACATTCATTCACGGATTTGCGCTACTGTCTTCACACACAGACAAAACTTACTAGAGAAGTGTGAAGTGTGACATAATATACCTCTGTAAATAAATACAATATAAATTCACGCCTCGCGCATTTTAATGCCCTTTGAATGTAACGTGTACGTTCCCTTGGAACTGGAATCATGGCGGAATATCATGTGAAGTCCACTTCGCAGGGCACTTACGGTCGAATAAGACAACGCTTGAATGCTGCTGCCTGAACAAGAGACCTCCTTACTGAAGTGAAAGTGTTGACTGGTGTCACTATCTCGCGAACGCGCCGGCGGATCTCCACCAAATTCGGGGGATCCCTTCAGCTCGAGGAGCCCTCTCGAACGAGATATGGCCGTTCAAAGTTTCAATGGTTTTCCATAGACTAAGCTTTAAAGCGTTTCATCCAGGTC